GAACATTACTTACAACGAACATAGAGTCTGGCATGGCCATTTTTGTCTTATTAGACGTAACCAGCTTGTTCAGCAGTCTAAACGTTCAGCCACGTGCTCCTGGTCTTGTCGGTTTACATCAAGAGATATTCAGATTGAAGCAAATGTATTCACCCACTAGTTACAGGAGGCATTGAAGCCTCGGGGAGCACAATACCTGGGGCTGGGTATGGCTGGCTGATGATTTCTAAAACGCTAGAAATGGGCATTCCGGTCTTTTTGGTTTATCTCGCTAACATTCTTCTGCGGCTGCAGTCCGGGCTCGAGCGTGAGCTCCAGGGAGACAACAGGACGAAAAAATCAGTAACCGATCGGAAAGTGCTATGAACCAATGTAAATCTTTGTGGATCTCGTTGTCGCCATAAGAGTGATAACTGAACATTCTGCCTTGATCTAATACCAGCTTGACAGTGAGCTCGTAGCTCAATTGTTAGGACGTTCGCCCTGACGTGAGAGATCGCGAGTTCAAATCTCGGTGTGGCCTTAGGACGTTCGCCCTGAAGGGAGAGATCGCGAGTTCAAATCTCGGTGTGGCAGCATGGATCGACGGGAGAGATCGCGAGTTCAAATCTCGGTGTGGCAGCAATTTCAGCAGCCACACTGGGTTTGGGTGCCACTAGCCGATGACGCCTAACAAGGCAGAAAAGGACTTCCTAGTGTGCCCTGTCTTTGCTGGTAATGTCCTTCTGCCTATATCCTTAAACAAAAATGTCAGGTCATTTTAAGGCCATTGTAATGGATCCACGAAACCTAAAAATTCATTTTCTGCCCCAACGGAGTAAGAGCAATGACTAAAAGCTTTGCCGGTTAAAAGCAAGGGAGACTGGAATGGTCATTTCTGGCTTATTGGTCGTTCATTCCCAACTCCAAGCGGTGCACAACCAAACTGGCAACCTTTTGGTCAGAGGCTAACGCTCAGAAGAAGTAGAGGCTATCACTGGAACAATAATTTTATTTTCCTGACGCCTCGGATTCTGTCGAGAATCCTTAATCATAGGTTACCGTAGGAGACTGAGACATGCACAGATGGGGGTGATATATGCACAGATTGCATGTATTTATAGTTCGTAGCGTTCATTCGCATGCGTACTTAAATTTTCAGCTCACGTAACCACCGGTTGGGGTCTTAATTGGTGCGGTGATGGCTTGAGACTTCGCGTTCGACTCATTAATTGTCGCGACTTCGTTGTCCGTCTCGGAGGCGGGTTTAATAATTACGCAGCAATTATGCTCGCAGTCGTCAGAGTTGGTGCTGGGCTCGGCCCTTCTCATGTGGCTGATTCTCATGCTCCGGCATTTATCATCCCCATCTGCGCATGCTTCACACTATCCTACGGTTACCTACGACTAAAGATCCTCGACAAAATCCGAAAAGTCAGGAAAATAAAATTATTGTTCCAGTGATAGAATCTTCTTCTCGACTGCCTCCTGGAACTCGCATATTCGCTTGTATAGGCAGAGCCTAATGCTCTAAACAATAAGCCACAAGTTCTTTGTCTTAGCGGTTAAGATAGGGGAATATGGGCACTCATTAATGAACGTTCACTGATCGCTAACGGAATTGACTTGTCCTGCCCTACCTCTGGCTAGGACCTCATTTGTCGGATCCTGACAGTAGCTGTATCAGTGAGTAGTGCAGGCAAATAGTTTGCCGGCAAAGACAAGGAAGACTAGAATGACCATTTTTAGCTTATTTGCCGTCGCCAGCCAGTCACATCCAGACTCAAGTGGTGCACCACCCGCGCCTTGAACTCGTGACCTTTTGATCAGAAGTAACCATTCCAGTCTCTTTTTCTTTGCCGGTAATCCTATCTGTCTTAGCTAATAGCCGCTGTATGACCGCTGGCGGGTCTCGGAAATGAGCCTCAAGGCCGAGCGGAACGAGTACGTTCCGTAAGCTATCGGTGATAGTTCGTCAACGAAAGTACTGACTCGTAGGCGAAGTTCAGAAACTTTAAAAGTGATTTCGCAAATGATTTATTGCTCCACTTTTTCACTGATCATCGTCGATGAACCTTCGAAGCGTTTTGCTCCGCTGTTTACATGGTCAAGTTTGATTGTATACGACTCCAAGGCATAAGGGCATTATCGAACTTAGAACTGTTTTTGAACAAAATCACTAAAACCTATGCATTCATTTCAACCCAGACAGTAAAATCGGAACATTGGTTACAAAGTAACACCAGCTTATCTCGTTCTAATGCAGAATGCATAAGGTATGGGTAAGATTTGCAACGAAGCGCCTCCTGCCTGGATTAGGGAAAGATTTATAAGTGGGATATTCCATAGGATTGAGCAGATAATGATACCATGACCATGATGGAGTGGAACTATGGTGTTTGTGAGTAAGGGTAAACTATGGTGAACATAACGTATATGATTACTTAAACAGGGCACGGGCATAAGAACATTACGTTTACGCATAATTCCAAGAGGGGTAGCCGTTACCGTATCCAATTTTTAAGAATGGCCCTAATAAGAAACTACAACACGTCCTAATGTTAACGCCAAATCCAACCTTTGAGCTAAGACTAGAGTGAAAACTAACCCTAGCCCTATATATTACTCAAACCACCAGTTTACAGTTGCACTTAAATCCTCTTATTAATTAATTTGGAATATGGTAGTATAACAACCTCTATTGTCTCGAGCCTCCGGTGGCGAACGACTTGTGGTTTGAGTATGAATGGTCGATGACAGTTACTAAAGCAAAAATGGCCATAACAATCTCTTTTTTCTTTGACGACGATGCTATCGGTGCATGTGTTTTCAGCCCTCCAGGTCGATGTTTAATTCGACAGTTTATTTTGTCTAATCAACAGGCAGTGATCATACATATTTGAATAAAAAGTCGGAAAACAACATGACGTCACTAAATTCGGCGACAGCAGCTATCCGATAAACCCTAGACACGAATAGGCTTTTATGCATGTCATGACGTTAAAAGTAATAATCCCCCTATAACCAAATAGCCACCCAAATAATTTGAGTGTTCATGTTTATTATCAGCTGAAAATCAGTAATGTTGGTAACACGGATGCTGAATGATTTCATCAAATATTATGTGAAAACCAATATTATTGGAGCCGGATTTATCATGAGGAGTAGTGACATTGTCGTGACTGTGCAACATAGACAGTAGAAGAATCATTTTATACCGAATTCTTAGGCATGGAGAGTTCTGAAGTCAATATTTCCCATGGTTGTGCGACTTTTATGTTATACGCGTGACCTTAATCGGTACAATAAGAAGAACAGTACCTAGTTAGAAGATTGCATATATAAGCCTCTAAACAGGACACGTAGTCCTAATTTTAATCTTTACTACAACGCCAAAAGTCTAAAACTAGAGTAAAAACTAACCCTTACCTTAACCTTTTACGTCACTTTTATCATGAGTTTAAAATAGCACTTAAATCGGTACATTAATTCGTTTGGAATAGGGCATAAATTAACCTCTATTGCGGGCGGTTCCTATCTTCATGTCCTCTTAAGGAACCAACAAACATAGCTCCTCCATCTCTTATCGGGAATTACAGGCCGTAAAAGGAAATCGACGTGTGTGCAGCCACAGCAGTATCTAAGGTGCCTACATCTCACTTGTACGTCCAACAACGACGCAAGTAAACATCTGCAGTAGTGCAAAAACACCTCACTACTAATTTTGGTGAAGTTCTGCTTCGTCATGTAATATGAAACGCATCCATGCGCACCAACTTTAAGGTGTGACTTCAATCCCGTTCCTTGGGCAAAATAACTGCGTTTTAATGTAAAGTTTGTAGTTTTCAGTACGTAATTATAGACGTGAATAAGAGATTCATCAATAGCGGCCGTGATTGCTGTATGCACTACCGCAGAATTTTACTTGTGGCGTAATTGAACGTGCAAGGTGATTGTAATTACCCTACATGCTATTAAAGTTCCAGCCCACCTTGTATTATCTCGTGGTCGAATGCACCTATCGTCCCCGTTATATCTGAAATTTTGCGAAAAGATGTCCGGCTTAAACATTTTCGCCCTTCGGTAGGAATGATTTCGTTGCCAGCCTAACCAGGGCATGGGAGCAGGAAAAGTCTACACTACATGTGACTTCGCGCCAAATTACGACGATCTTAGTCTTAGGATTACGGTGGCA